TTATGGTTATTTAAAAATAAGTTTAAAATTTTTCTTTTACCTCTCTTGTATTTTATCTGTTAAACTCTCTTTGTTTAAACAGTCCTCATTTCGTGTTCTTTACATGACGTAATGCCACCCCTAAAACCCTTTCCTAGCTACTTTTTTTTCCTCAGATAGATAAAAAGTGGGGAAGTAATAGCATAGGTATAACATACTTAGCTCCGAAAATTCTAACGAGTATTTCTGAGAGTGCTTTGTATTCTTTAATTTAATTTCACTATAGCTAACTAATGGTGTCTGCCGATAACATCGCGGACGAAAACGTCGCGGAGAAAACAACGCAAGGTAAAAACGTCTTGCTACAAAGCATCGTGGGAGAAAACATCGCAATTCTAAAACATCGTGGTACAAAGCATCGACATCGAAAATAAAGCGGTTCAAAAACTTCGCAGTTTAAAAACATCGTCGTCGAAAATATCGTGGTAAAAAATAAAGTATCTACAAATCATCGCTTGAGAATAACATTGCAGACATGCTTTTTTTTCAGGTTTTAATAATTGTAAATGGATATTCTCATAATGATTTGCGAGCGCAAGATGTAAAGAAGGATAATTTTTACTTTCACATTTTTTTATTAACTAATAAATTTTTGCTGAAAAAGTAAGAAGAAAACTTAAGCACAGAAAATTAAATGCAATTTATAGATTATACTTTTCATGAAAAATTACCAGTAAAAACTTTATAAAAAATGATTTATTAATGGCCTCTGTTAGTTAACGATGTGGTTTAAAATTGTATTAAGTGCTATAAGTTGCATTAATTTTCTATGCTTAAGTTTCCTTCTTATTTTCTCCGCAAAAATTTATTAGTTAATAAAAAATATGAAGTTATCCTTCTTACCGTCTTGCGCTCACAAATCATTATGGGAATATCCATTTAAAGTTATCAAAGCCTGAAAAAAGCATGTCTGCGATTTTATCGTCATGCGATTATTTGTAGATACTTTATTTTTTACCACGATATTTTCGACGACGATGTTTTTAAACTGCGAAGTTTTTGAACCGCTTTATTTTCGACGACGATGTTTTGTACCGCGATGTTTTAGAAATGCGATGTTTCCTCTTTGCGACATTTTCTCCCACGATGTTTTGTAGCACGACGTTTTCGCCTTGCGTTGTTTTCTCCGCGACGTTTTCGTCCGCGATGTTTTTGCCGCGATGTTTTCGGCTGTAACTCTAATATATGCAATAGCTTATCTATCAAAACAATTAATTATATTTGTTTACGATTTTTTATGGGATACTCCGACATGTTTTTTCTTCTAGAAGTGATCTCGCTTATAGATTTTGTTGGTAAGTATACGATTACAGGAATGATGCACATTACGCTTATTAGCTTAAAAGACTGACTTAAGTAATAGTACCATTTCTGTAATTAAACTGTTCTGTGGTGAAACGAAAGAAAATTATACCGATGTGAAGCAAGAATTTGGTTTTATCAACTTGATGCATACATTTGTTTTAACCTTATTGGATCTTCCTTTTCTTAACTAGCCTTGAATTGAGATAAAACTAATATCTTGGGAACAAATTCATTGACTGCAATTAAGAAGGCTAGGATATGAACTTTTTTTCTTATTTTATTTCTAAGAAAAGGTTCTTCGTTAAACACTATGTTCAGTGGGAGCAGTAATTTGAATGGATGAAAAGAAATTTGTATAAACGTTTTGTTATTGCTTTTAATACAGCTTATTAAAAGTAATATATGATATAAAACATTGAAATGATGTAAAAGTTTTACTATTTAGCATTCATATTTTTACTTTCTTTGAGACATTTACATCTCCTTTATTGGAAAAGGTTATGCGCATGGAAAGAGGTTGCTAAAAGGGTTTTGAAATAAATTTGATCTAGATATATATAACGAAAGCAAGCATAGGAAATCCTCAGAAACCGATTTATTTCGTCTCATGACAGAAATATTTTTTATTTGATTTTTATATTTGCATATTCGGTAAGAATTTTAAATTGTGCTAATTAAATGGCAATCAGATATAAATAAGTTTCACGCAATTATATTGTTGAAATATTTTATAAATATTTGAATTTATTTTTTGTAGTTCCCCCCTAAAAGTCCTCCTTTAAGGTATTCCTTTCCTTAGACAGATATATTACCGAGCCTCTTTGCTATAATCTAAGTAATTCTAATCCATATCTTCCCTTTTTCAGTTCTTCCTTCGCTTAAATTTGATGATATAATTAATGTTCTTTTCAAATTATCATAGTCTCCTTTTATTGAAGTGTTATTTACGCTACTACAAATTACTGAATCGAACATTATAACAGAGTATTAATAAGAATATTAATCACGGAATAATGCAAAATTGAAAAAAAAAATTCTTCGCACGAAATTCTGTTAAATATAGCCTCTTGTACATCCTCTCTTGAAGAAAATTGTTAACATATTTTTGGGAATTTTGTTTATTATAGGAATATATTTTTAAAAATTTCTTTTTAAATTTTTCACCCATGATGGAAACAGCAATACAATCTTATTACCAGTTGTTATGAATTATATCTTAATATTATATCTTAAGTTATGAATTTTTAGTGAATTAGCATAATTTAATAATTGATGAATCTGCGCCATTGAATAATAATGCTTGATTATCATCGTTAATAATAATGCATTGATGAATTAGCATCAATAAATAATTCATTAATGAATTATTAATGCATTGTTATGAATTATTAATGAGTTACCATTTCGGCCAAAAAATTCTATTACCAAAGTTACCTTTACAATTGATCTACGTGATAGTGTCTTTGGGTCTGTTCACCAGTGTAGCGATTGGCGATAAAATTCCACTGAATGGGAAAATATTCAACCGGGTTAAAAGTCAGGAATCAGGAATTGAGAAAAAGATTCAGGAAAAGGGTATACTTTGTCTTGTACTATGGATTATTTGTGAAGGGAGAACATTATAATTTATTTCAGTTATATGTAGAGAATGAGGGTGTATGTAGTTTTTGTTATTTACTGTGTATATAACTTGTCATAGCGATTACGAGCTTGTCATAACGATTACTTTTTACTTCCGAAATAAAAAGGAAGTACTGTAATCGCGAAAAATTTAGGGCATCATATTTCAATGAAAATATCCATTTTGATGGTTATCGATCACAATTTAACGATATTTTTGAGTGATATCTGTACGTAACGACAGAATAAAGGACTCTTTTCCTCCAAAAAAGTCATTGTAAGCTCAATGAGAGAGCTTACAATGAGAAAAATAATTGTTTAATTTTTATTTGAAGAAACTCGATTATTTTATTAAGCGCTCAAAGATTTTATCGTCATACTTGTAGAGATATAAGGTTTTTTGGAGTAGGAAACGGGGAAAATAGTATATATGCCTTTTTCCTGGTTTCGAGCCACCGAACTTCCATCTGATAGTTGAACGTACTGAGCACTAACCCAAACGAAAAGGATAATGCGATAATTACTTGTGCATTAAACTAAATAATGCAAACAATATATATCTAAGATTTATTTTCCCTTCTGGGATTTAGAATTCTTAATTAAAATACAGAATATAACTCGTCATAAGAAGTTACACGTCATTTCTAAGCATAAAAGTGTTTTTTCTAAGCTGTTTGGTAAATTACTTTTGTTTCACAAAAACAGTACATACAATGGATTTAATAACATGTTGTTACCTAACATTCTTTAAGTGTTTATATCAACCATCAAAATAATCCACGAAGCAGATTTTGCGTAATTGTTCTTCAATCGGATTGTCACTTGAGTTAGAAAATTTTACCTTGAGCAATGTATAATCATTTATTTTTCTCTTTAGTCAAATAAAAAGATTAAATTAAGGAGCAACGACAAATTCGAATTCAGATTTATTAATTAATCATAATTCATTTAAACCATTATTGCAGAATTTATATTTAACTAGAGGGGAAACTCGACAGATGAGCGGGCAGCAAAAGTTATAGGTCTATAAACACCAGAAATGAAAGTATATAAAAACATTTCAATATGAATAAAATCGGTTCATTCTTTCCAAGCAACAGCAAATTCTTAAATAATTTTTCTGTTGCCAAACCAGAAAACAAAAACCTTTGACACATCGAGTTAATACATATACATATGATTTAATTTAATGTAATATAACAATTTTTTCTCAATATCAGTAAAAGAATCAACGTCGCAATAACATGAAGTATCAATTATCCTAAACTGAAATAAAAAGATTGCTAAATGCAGCTATTTGATGAATGCTGACACTAATGAAACATTATCGACATAAAGTGACGTCACATGCAATAGCGTGATTTCTTTTACTTCAGAATCGGACCTTACATAATAATAATATATTAAATGTCTGCCAATGCTATTTTTTATTTCATATTTTTAAAACTTACAAATTTTTTATTAATAAACTGTACAATTTGAAAGCGTGCAATGGCAACAGTTTTCGAAATAAAGCAGATCTCCAGCGCGCGAGACATACTATTTTTATGATAAAAATGAAGGCGAAAATTAGCGTTTTCATAGTTTTTAATTAATATCTCGGCTGATTAAAGTCGAGTGAAGATGAGAATAATCTAAATGGCTTTCCACCAATTTTTGGAATCCGGGGTGGGGGAGGGGAGAGGCTTCTTTTGAAACTCAAATCCCTGCTGTTCTGGAGAAGATGATGCCACAAACAAACAGACAAACAGACTGAGGTGCACATATTTTTAATAGTATAAATAGTTGGAATTAGTCATAAACAAAGAATGTAAAACCGACGCTCATTATAGCGAGTGTTCAATTTCAATGACGAGGTCAAAATATCTCTAAATGATGAACGTATATTAAATTCGGTTTCGTTATAACGACTGTTCGTATTGTCCTTTTCCTTTAAAACATATATTTGTGACAATGATTTCCAGCCTTTTTCTTGCATCGAATCATTTTAAAAGGTAATTAGTTTTCTTCATATCCCTTTATATTTTTCCTTACAGTGCACAACTCCCAGCATAAGGAGAAGTGGTTAAAACTTGGGAAAGACGACTGGCAGACAAAAATACCGTCTTTCAGGCAGAGCTTCTTGCATTAAAAGCAGCCATCAATTTGGCAAAATATCAATTAGGATTAAAGGTCAGCATATATAGTGACTCTGCCTCAAGTTTGGAGTCCATCCGAGGGCACAAGACAAGGAGTCCTTTGGTGCAAGATATTCAGAAAATTCTTCTAAGTATCCCACCAGATGACAGACCTATCCTGATCTGGGTTCCAGCTCATGTGGGTATTACTGGCAACGAAGTGGCTGACCTGCTTGCGAAATCTGCTGCCAATGACTTCAGTAGATTGGAAAACGCAGTAAGTGTTCCGAAGTCCTATTTAAAAAAACCACGCTCAATAGCCTTTTACAAGAATGGCAGAAAAGATGCAAAAGGGAAAGCACAGGGAGGAGAACCTACAAGTTCTTTCCAAAAGTCACGTGCTCAGTTAATACATACAGCGGAGCACAAACTCAATTCTACACTGGCCATGGTCCCTTCCCACATTATCTTAAGAGATTTCGGCAATACGAGCATCAGAATTTGTGTGAATGTGGTGCGGTAGGTGATGCAGATCAGTTCCTCTTCAACTGCCCACAAAACCGATAAACTGCATTTAAAAATGCCAAGCAGTGAATACTGGCCGCAATGGGCGGAGAATACCCGCTGCAACAAGCAGACGAAAACTAAAATAGAGGAGGTAATCAGGCTTTGCTCAGCAAGATACTAAGAAATTCTCCCCTCTCTTGAGAATTGTATCTTCGCAGCATAATTTTAATAGCAATTCAAAATACTACAACTGAATATCAACACTAGGAAATAGCTTACCCCGTAGAATAATAACAGGACTGTAAGAGCAAAACTATTGTAATGTAAGCATATTACTATCCAGTTTGTATGTACTTGATAAAAATAATATTGTAAAGCAGTTTAAATGATATTGAAAATCCAGTCAATGTGTAAATGAATTACAAGTTTAATTTTGATTATCTCAGTAAAAGTATTGTAAATATGAATTCATATAATGTTTAAATGTACACATAGCTGTCATGATTTTATGTATCTATCATATTTAACTTGTACAAGACAATGATTGTAATCAACATATCTATGCTTATACACAGGCCCTGTATGCCCATGTAATATTTATATGTATATTTTTACACGGAGGAAATTTTCCCTTCTGCCAGGATGACTACTAACACTATAAGTCTTTTACAACAAAGTCAGGTCAGTGGTTATCTCAGGCGGCCCTCGGCGCTCAGCATAATCATAATATAAGTAATTGCACATAAATAACTTGTGGTGTTCCTCGCCCCTTGTCTGTGATAGAACGTCGAGAAACCTTGTGAACTATGTAGCGACTTATCGCTGAGTTCAAAACGACTAAGACGTACACACGGGAAGGGTTAAGATACCCTTTTCACTCAAATAAGAATAACAGTTGGCCCCCTTCTCGGGCTTACAGGCAAGCCTTTACTCAGAAGGCAAACACGCGACACTAAGGTATCCTAACACTCTCCATCGAAGTCAATTGAACCTTACTTAAATACTTCTAACTGATTAGCATTCAATGCAATTTTAAAATCTCATTCAGGTAGGGAATTGTAAGAGGAAATAATAACAGAAAGGAAAAGGTTCCAGAATTAAAATAACTGTTATAAATTTAAAATATACCTTACAAACTTAAAGACAAGAATTAAACTATTAACATTAACAAAAGTTTAGAAAAATTGTTTATTAAATTTCTGTTTCATTATTTTTCCATTACTATTATTTTTGATTTTACAAATAGCAGTCCACTAGCATCAGTAAATTCGTTTATCACAGGTAGTTCGGTGTGAGGTTCGAATCCCGCGAACAGGCTGGCTGCATGGGCGTTTTCGTGGCTTTCTCCATGCGTAAGCCAGTTCCTCTTAGAAAGTCCCCCATGAAGGCATCCCTTCAGTAAAGATCCTTTCCTTATTTCAATATAATGAATATTGAATCTTGTAGGAAGAATAAAGCTAATTTTCAGAATAAACAAAATACTTTTATTTAAATTTTAAAACAGAACCAAAAAAAAATAAATACTGCAGCTCTAAACTCTCAAAATTTTAAACTCTTAACTACTGCAGTTAAAACTCTTACAACTATTAAAAAACTCCAAATCTTATACTCTCTAAAACAAAATATATAAAAATCTTTCGAATCCTCTTCTTGTTGCCACACCGTAAAATGCAAGTTCTTGTCCTATTATTTATATTTCACGTTCTCTTTAAGTCACGATCTTCACAAGTCATGATCTTTACAAGTCACGATCTTTACACCTTCCCTTAGGCAGATAGCCTTGATGCTTTGCAGTAATCACGTAAACAAACAAATAAAAAACTTACAAATATAAACAAGTTTCCAGAAGCAAAATCTTAGATTCTAATTGCAGACAAAAGTTTGATTTGATGTATTGAGGTAGTTTTGTTATATAAACAAAACGGCATAAAGCTGCCTAACTTAATTCTTACACCCATTTTGTTAAAAATTTTAACCGATTTCTTGCTTTCCTTAGTAAACTATTCACTTGACTCAGAACCTGCTTTTACTAGATAAGAAGAAGTCATTAATATTGGGTCGGTAAGAACTATTCATTTTGCGATATTTATATCGGTTTTGAATTTCAAATTTTAGATTTTAACATAACCCATGTGTTTTGAATAGGATTTGATCTTGAATAAATTTTCTTCAATGTAGTCGACTCTTCTTCGAACATAATATCAAGATCAGATATAACGCAATTCAGTGATATGAGGCATGCTACCACATTCAAATTTTCAGTATCTTGGGAGCGAACATTAAAACCTTCTTTTAAATATTGCAAGCGGCTTGTACATAGCAATATATCTTCTGTGGAACTAAATTCCTTCACAAAAGGAAAAAAATCTATTAAGTAATCAAAGTAAGTAATAGACTTCTTTTTGATTTAATATCGATATAAATAAGTCAATTTTATAATGAAAACCTATGATAAATTCTTTCAGCTTTTATGAGACTGATATCTCTTCCTTACAGTTTGTTTGAACTGTGAATGTATGCAATAAATATTGCCGCTGCATAATCTACTATCGATTACCAATCGACCCCTAGCTCATTAGTAAACTCCTTTAAAATTTCCTCGATCCTCCATTTGGGAAAACCTCATTTATAATTTCTGTCTTCCTTTTTTTTTTCAGAGGCGAAAGGCTCATATAACGAGAGTTATTATACAAAAATATTTACATTATTTCTTTATTAACTTTAGTTCCTTGATCAAGTAAATACAGGATAAATATCAAGAAATTTTGCACATGCAGCTTCATCAGCATCTGTACGTGACACCGAAAACATAAAACAAACCCTAATGCTTCGCTTATGTTCCTCCTTACAATAAATATGTAAGATGATATGGAATTATGACGAAGTTTTTCTAGCTTCCTATTCCAGAACTCTCTTTATTTGGATAAGAATACTTTATTTTGGGCACTTTTACAGAGGATTATGGTGATAAATGTTTGACATTTATTGCTTCCCATAGCTTACCAGCTCAGTTTCCTAAACATTGTCATGGTTACCTCTCAGTGTCTTTGTTTATTGGCCAATCCTAAATGCATCTTTGCAACAATGGTAACTTTAGAGTCAAGAATATTGAACATTTTAGGAAAATTTAATTATCGACTAAAACACTGAAATATATGATGCGTATGTAGAACAACTGAGCTTCTTGTGATTGAGTAGTGAAATTTAATATGTAATGTCATTAGAATTTTTCGATGTCACATAACTGAAGAAATCCGCAATGCTCTCTCCGGAATTTAAATTACGGGCCTCCCGAATACGCGTTGAGCGTGCTCCTAGTTACAGCACAGCACGAAGGCATGCGGAAAGGAAGGAGAAAATACTTTATATACTTGCCTTTGAAAGGGCGATTGGGAAGTAGAGGACCCAGTCGCCAAATCCTGGTGGTGACAAGTAGTCTTTCAATTCGAGGGCTATTTATAGAGTCTTTTAGAATGTTTCGAAGCAAGGAAATCGAAGAAATGCGCAATAATTTATCTGAGATTCGAACTCTGGACCTCTCGAATACACGTCGAGGTTCCAACATGAAGAAACGTGAAAATGAGAGAGAAAATACTTTATAAATAATTGGTTGAGAATGATGAGTGATATTAATTACAGAGACATTCTATTACTGACTGTCGCCCAGATGACATAGCGGTTAGGGGAGCCACCTGCGATACAAAAGGGACCGGATTCGAATGCTGGAGAAAGCATGGTTATAAGTGCCCGTCCCTTCATAAGAGGTAGAAGTGGCCCACCTATCAGGTACCCCTATAATAAAGGTGACTACCAATTCTGGCTTTAGTTGTAGCCAAGTCGAAGATCTGAGGGTCCGCCATTGAAGAGGGGGGATCACTGACTTGAACTACAGTCTCAAACAAAGTGGAGAACGTAAATGATGTGAGGTGATGAAGTTACGCGTTAGTATTTCAAGCTGGGGGAGATGGTTGTTGCCTTGAAGTGTCTGTATTAAAGTAACATGTCTTAAAGTAATATGTTTAAAGGTATTCTCTACATTTTAGCTCTTATATCTTTCCTGCGAGAATTCTTTTATGAATGTCTGTCAACGGTGAAGCAAAAGAATGCTGAGGATGTACTGAAGTATGAAATGTTAAACTTTTGAATTTTCTTTTAATTCGTGTCAATTATGATCATAGATGTAAGTCATTTGTAAAATTTTACTGTTCATAAAAATAACTGTAGCATAAAAAGGCATGAAATATTCAAAATATTGAAATTAACTAAACTGAATGAAATTTAGCTCTCTGGCTTTAAAAGCTGGATTTTAAAAATTGAATTAAATGTTCTATTTAAATCTTATTAATATTTTTTCTTATCATGCATTCAGTAAAATAAAATTAATCCACTTTTCGTGTAATCTGATATAAAACTTCTAAGAAAATGAAAATTGAATTTCAATATTTCGAATATTTTGGAAATAATTAGTTTTACCATTTTTTTTCCAAATTCATTTCATATTTTGAAAAAAAATGGTAAAATGAAAGAGCGTAAAAATGAAAATATAGGTGTTGAAATCATTGAGATAACTAACAAATAAAATCACATTCGCCTGCCTTCGTCTCATTAGGGGTTAAATGAGTTTTTTGAAGTTTTAATGACAGGAACAAATGTCGCATTACATAAGAAATGGTATTAATTTAGGAAATTATAGTCACACGCCATGCATGTTAGTTATAGTACTAACACCTTCTTTAGACAGCGAAGATTTTTAATTAGTCATGATTTATGACACAAAGGGGAAAAATTAAACTTTGATTAATGGGGGAAGTTAGCCCATTTGGAAGAAGATTAAAGGTTTTAATTGATTTTTTAAAA